TAATTAACAATACATTTAATTATATAATATGTACATACGTGTGTGTGTGTGTATATATATATATAGATAGATAGATAGATATATACATATTACTATTTACACGTAAATGATTAGTTTTTTTACTTTCATTGAAACCCATAACAATAAATAAAAAATATACATAAAAACTGTGATTTCTAGTACTAATGATGTTACGAAATCTACTTGTACTCTGGAAACTTGGTTATTAACCCTCTTGCTAAGCCTCAACGATTCTCGCAAACTGTAAATTTTAAATACCCATTTTAGAAAAAAAAATTTATCACTTACGAGAATAGGATATCTCAAACTAAGATAATTTATTTCAATTTCTAACTAAGGTATAAATAGATTAAAAATTTAATTTCTGTTCAGAGCAACAATTTTAGTAAAAAAATATCAACATGTTCTAGTAAATTTCAGCTTTCCTCACCACACAACTGACAAACAACCATCAGATTTATGAGGTTCAATATCTGCTCTTTCTATTAGTTATAAATGTCTACTTATGACAGGTAATCATGAGTAAATAAGTGGCTTCAAAAGAATGAAAGGAGTTTCTCTGTTAGGTTAGCTAAATATATTGATATCTCAGCAAATCACTAATATAGGAGGTTCTTATTTTATATTCTATCTCATCAATATATGAATTTGAGTTATTAACTAGCTAAGCACTGTTTAAATTGTATAGTAGAAGTATTAAAATGTAAATTTAACAACTTATAGGGCAGACATGTCATGTGACATACATGAGTGAGTTTTAAGAAATTGTTTTAATACTTCTTTTTAAATTAAGAAATTAAACCTTTAAAATTTTCTTTTTACATCCTCCACGTGGGAAATTTCATAAGGCTTAGCAACCTACAACAAGCGGTAACCGAGTGCAAAGGTCATAACTAGAAGGGATAGTTGTTTGCTTTACATCTTTATTTACTTCTATATTTTAAGAAAAATAAGTTTTAAGAGCTTATCTGTAAATAGAAATAATGTTTATGTATATAACGTATAACAGTTGAAATGTGACTGTATTTTACAAAATATTAGTCCACTAAAATACAGCCAAGACAGGTCACTTTGTAAAGATTACATTTCAGTTATATATATTATTGGATACGCTAACACTAGTGCAAGTGCTCCACACCACTGTAACCTGTAACGTTAGCCAGGAATGCCTGGAAGATCAATATAATAAAAATAATAAGTATATATAAAAATGTATAATGTTATGTAATTTATGCTATTTAGACCAAAAATTTGTGTTTTCGTGTTATAATTTGTAGTCATACTAGAACAAAAAAACATAATTTATTTTTATTTTTTTATTTGAGGTTATGATGACAGCCATATCAAACCAACCCGTACAGAAATACACTAGTGGAAATAAGAAATATGTTTTTTTTGTAAAAATCAATAGATCCTGTTCACTATTCCATTGATTCACTTCGGAAACAATTTCAATCTGTGCTAGATATGCCTCCCATGGTACCTTTCTGTCATAATTTGTTGGTTTATTGACAGAGCATATTGTTGAAAAGGTCTGCTAAGTTCCATAACTTTATGAAGTAGCAGTATAGCTGAAGTAGTCGAGGAAGGTCTTGTAGTTGTAAATGGCAAAAAGAGTAATAACTGGTAGACCAAATGAGATCTCCTATTCCATATTGCATAGTTAACTGTGTTTGAGTTTGGAATTTTTGTGAAAATGCAGAGAGAGGGGAGTAACAGGTTTGATCCTTTTATTTGCAAATTAAGTTTTTATATGTTTTATCATGGCATCTATGTCCTTCTGTACATTCCTATAGCTTTTTCAACATAAGTATGAACATTTCCTATTTTGTCTTCCATCAAACTGATCTGGGTTCTCAATTATCATACAAAATTTGTATCTCATTCTAGTATTTCATTCTTAAATTTCTTTCTTCTTTGTTTTCTTTTAATATTCTATTTTGTTCTTCTGGATTGCTTTTTAATTCTCTATAACTTTCTTCCTGATATTTTAATTTTGTCTCTTTCTTCTTAGTCTTCTTTAAATTTTCTGGGCTTTTTCCACCATTTCTATTAAATTTTTAATTTCACTTCCAGCATGTGTTCCACTTTGAAGTTTAGTTTGAATGTAATCTTTTATTAAAACAGTATCACTCTTGACAATAGTAACAAGTGTTGTAAAGGGTTTTTTTTGGATTATTCAGAAAAAAATAATAATAATGCAAAAACCAGTCCAAAAAATAACAACAGTGCAAAATCCAGAGCACTTATTGATAACAAAATCATTTTATTTATTCAAGTACAAGTACTATAATATAGCTTAACTAATATTCATTAATAAACCTAAGTTCACAGTAGATAATAATATAGCAATTCAACTTAGTTATTAACTTCTCTTATATTTGTGACTTTCTTGTATTTATATTTCTTTGTCAAAACACAAACTCAATATTCACAAAATTGAACTCGGTGAGTAACTAACTGACAGTAAGACCAACTTACTAACTCAATAATCAATCATCATATATTCTAGCCTTATTTGCATTTTTATAGTAATAAAACTGTTGTAAAATATGGAGAGAGTTTCACACATTAAGCCATGTGCTAATCATATTACATCAAGCATCTCTCTGGCAAAACAATTAAATTTAAAAAATGTAGCTTATAACAGAACTTTAAGAAAAATACACAAAAATGATAATGAAGCATTCAAATGGATTTTATAAGGGCCATAAAGATTTGTCTAACATACTGATAATCATAGTTTTACATCTTATGAGAGAGATGGTACTGTAAATAATGCTTCTTGTAATTTTATAGTTTTATTGGACATCTTCAATACACAAAGTCTCAATAACTTAAATACAAGGTTTGACAGGAGACAATCCTCTGTAGCAAGGTGAAGTTCATACTTGCATTAAACATGGTATCTTTAAGATTATGTAACTATTTGAGTTAAAATAATACTTCAATTAGTAGCTGTCAAGTGAACACAAACTAACCTTTAATGTAGGATGTTCTAAAGCTTTGATATCTGCCATGTCCTTCATTAAACAATCATCCTTCACACTTTATCATCTATGCTTCAAACTTCTGCCAAAAGCAATTAACAATTCTGTTAAACAAAAAAAAGGATGAAACTTAAATTTATATTAATTTTTTGAATTTCCAAAAGAAAAACTACTCATATTTTTAAAAATAGAGAATATTATAAAATTAAATGGTTATTAAATGAAAACACGACTTTTTACTACTTACAGGTGACAATATATCTTTAAATAAACAAATGTCTGAAATTGAAAAATGCAGGCATTCTAAGTTACTTCCATCCCCCAAATTGTAAAAAACAATCTTATCACTTAGAGATTCATATTTTTATTTATAATATTTTCTAACAAAGAACTAATTATTACAACATAATCAAGAGTTGAGATTAAACACAAAACATGAGCAGTTCATGAAGGTCAAGTCTTAACTAAAAGAAATAATTTCAATGAACGTCTGTTTTTTTTAATGCTGAATCAATTATTTAAAACTCAAATGAGCAAAGTGATGGACAGTTATTTAGTCTATCAACATCTCTCCACCACCTACCAAATTAAATGCAATAAAATATCAAATAACAAACAACATGTATCTCTTCACATCCATACACATATCCCACATGTTTAAAATAAATCAAGAATCAACTGAAGTGCCATTACCTATAAAGGTTAAACCCCAATAAAAAAAACTCCAATAATTTAATGTCCACTGACAAATGACAGAAAATTTCAAAAGTATCAAAAAAATACACGTTTGGAAAACATTGTGCAAAGTATAAATCAACCACACATAGCAAAGAAAAAACATACAAACGCATGCAAACAAAAGTTTACTCACAGCAAAAACAGTGTCAATTGTTTTGCTTACCAACTGACCTAGTTTTCTTTTAACTAACTGGCTGCTGAGGTTAAGAGAAGGCTCTTCTAAAACAAAGACAGAAAATCCATGTCATGTCTGCACATGACAAAGATTCTGATTTACTGCAAAAAATTCAGACAAAAATGCTAAAGTGCAGTATACCAGAACTCAATACTGCATACATCAAGAATTATTCCCCACAAACTTTATAAGAGAGAAAAAAAACCCTAACTCAGTCAAAATCGTAAGTATCTAAGTCATCTCCTTGAGATGGGCTTACTTCAGTGGGGAACCAAACACAGAGCCAAAAATGATACAAGTTTCTAGCCATCAGCATATGCAACTTTACCTGAGATTTGTATACGTTTATGACCTTTTTTGACAGTTAATTAACACGAACATCATACTACATCCAGAACAATGTATTAAAATTTATAAAAATTATATGAATACATCTAAATAAAGATATATTCTGAGTTATAAAAGGGTAAATTCATGATTATTTCAGTCATTATTAAGGCAAGAACACACTTTTACTAAAACCATGCTAAGAACTGTTAGCTAAAAGCCAACTGTCAAATGCTGCCTTCCTGCAGTTGAAAGTATGATTCTTATTACATATACATCTGTTTGAATAAAAACAAAAAACACCAAGAATATTTCTAGCCATATCCCTCCATATTAAAAGGTCTAAATTATTTATTATTAAGGCCTTTCACGTGAATAATGACAAAAAAATCCTACATTTCTTTATCTCTGAAGAAAAGGCAAACCCAGTCAATTTTCCCTATTAACAAGTACTTGTATTGGCAGTTTGTACATGTTATGAAAGGTAGCATTCTGATCAGAAGACCTGTATAAATGCCAATAAGCACCTTTTTCTTTCAAGAGACGTAATTTAAACAATGTCTTTCTATAATCAAAACACATTGCTGCCAACAGCTAACATGCTGACAGCAACCCATGCCTGAAATGTTTGCATTTATTGCAAAGACAAGACTTATAGTATTAGTAGAAAATAACATGTTTATTATTTTCATCTTCCCTGACACTATGAACTATTTTATTATCCTCATAGCATCTAAAATTAAAAACATAATCCCTTAAGGTCAGTTATTTACCCCTCTAGCTAAACTTAGTATTTAGTCCCGAAAATCATCTGAAGCTTCCCAAACATTCCATTTCCCAGCCTACTTCATTCAAGCTCTTCACATAAGAAAACAACTGCATGAATTTCCTATTCTCAATTCTAGCCAGTTTACTTCTGGCTCAATAATAATCTAGTATTTAATCTTTGCATTCTGGTAAAAATTTCTTGCCTAGAGCCAAAAAATTAAATAAATTCTCAAACAATTGCAGCACATCCATGGAGCTTAGAAGTAACTTTTTTTATATTAATAGTTCCTCAGGTCTATTTCTATCATCGATGGCTCTGACATAACTACAAAAGTGCCTTATTTTGTTCCTTTCAATAAACATTTTCTCTACATCTTGAACTTAGTAGAAGTAGAAAAAAATGTAGATGCAGTTATCTTAAATATAGCTAGATGCTGTCTTTCATCATTTAAACAGATGCTAAACCAGAACTATATCAAAACTTTAAAGTTATCCATTACGAGCTAGTGAAATGTGCCATGTAGGCAATGCTAACCTTTCTTCAGACAAGAACAATAGCAGTGTAAGTACAGGTGGCTGGAAATAGTCACAAGAAAAAAGTCACAATTCTGAAGAAAGGTCACACATTTTTTAATATCTAAATACAATGTAAAGTAATATAAGAAAAACATTTTTTAGTTATTTATTGCACTAATAGGATACTGTATATGAAAAGTACATGACATTCACACATTAATAACACAACTTACATAACTTTTATACAAGGAGATATATATATATATAAAAGTAAATGAGGAACAATGCTACATGCCTGGCTTACCACTACCTGAAGAACACAGCTTTACGTCTGACCTGAGGAATGCAGTGCCTAACCTCACAAGTTCAGTTTGGACTGCAGTCCTGGATGGCCCCTTTTACATTTTGAACACTATATATTTAATTTAGTAACATATCATCTAATGTAAGCATGTCTTCACTAAGATTCATACTGTCATGTTTTTTTCTATCAAAGTGCACTCTACAAACCTGTCTGTTAAAAAGTGCATTTATATATAATTCAAAGTCAAGAGCACTTTTCAGGCATATACGAGGTCAATCATCACATGAATGAGTGGAATAGTTCAATAATTTAACTACTATGAACTTAAAGTTATAAACATAAATTTTCCAATTATGACTTTTTTCCTCTATAGATTCAGAAGTACAAATACAAATCAAACAATAATTTATCTCACAACCCTAAACGATGACAGATTTGAGTGTTTTGTGAATGTTGATACAAAGGCTTAAAATTTCATTCAATAAAAATTTTTCTTTAACATAATGCAGACTCATTCAGTGTGTTGTGTTTGGTAATAATAATAATTTTTAAACTACTATATCCACATATCTTTGCTTATGACACACTGAATATTGTACATCCCAGTTCCGAGTCATTATGATTAGCAAATAAATAAAGGTTTTAAATGTAATATATGGATTTTTTTTCTCTTGTTTGCAGGTTCCACTGATATGACAGCATGTTGAATGAGCAAGAAATGGCCTGGATCATACCACAGTATGCTGAATTTGAATTTTGAATCAAAGAACACATGATGAGGACATATCTTATTAATAAGAATGAATTTTTTTTCCTTATAATGAAATTCTTGATAATCAAAAACCAAACCACACATGGTAGGCCTAAATTCACATACAACTCAACATCACGTCCCAGATAATTTCAATAAGACCAAAAAAAAAAGAAGAAAGACTGTTCCAAGATCGCTTATGAAGTCAAAATGCACATATTAATTAAACATGCCAAAACACTGTGCAGTGAAAACTTAAAAATATTTTTGTAGGAACAACTGCTGAAGTTTATCACATTCACAGTATTTACATTAGCAATAAGTATGAATAAACTAAACTCAAAAATATTGCAAATTTAAGTATCAAGAATTATATTAAATTAATTGTAAAACATGTTATTTAAATATCATTCCCAAATTATCATTTCATTATTCATATGTTAATTGCAATGATGATTATAATTCTTTACAAAACTGTACTTGTTCCACCCTAATATGTCTGTTTTAATGTAGTCGAGCATAATTTTAATTTCACGATCACATTCACAGGCCTAAGCTATTGCTTATTCTCTGCATAAATTAAATAGTACTCGTAGTGGTACTACAGAATTTTAAAAACGTAATATTTGAAACACACACACGTACAAGTCTGTATATTCATAATGACTGATCATTTTTTATGAATCTAGATTTTTAAATTAATACTATAAAACTTTTTTACTACAAAAGAACTTCCCCGTTAAATATAACAAGAGCTAAAACAAAAACCTACACCTCCTACTCCCACTGGAATAAAAGTTATTACACTCAATACGTTAAAATCGAAAGCTTCGAGAAGAGAATGGCAAGTTCCTATTTTTTCACTTGTCGGCCAATCATATCTATGAATGTCACGAACAAAAATGTAGCTACAACCTGCACACACACACATACAAAAAAAATAATATTAATAATACCGGACTAATTAGTTTGCTTCTATAAATTTAAATTAGTACAATATTCAAATCACAACAAATCTAGCCTCAGTGGTATCTTTAGTGATTTATAGGTATATATATGAATGTACTGAACACGGTCATGTATCTAATATTTTGTTCTTTCGTCCTTCTAGTTCTCTTTTCGTATTGTTTTTATTATCAATCTGTTTGAAATTGATATAAAAACTAATTCAGTAGAACTTATTAGTATATATTATGATATTTTATATTCTTTATTTGTTTTCTTAATAAAAATTTCAACTAGCAGTGTAAACTTTTCACCAATTATGAAAAAATGTATATTAGGTAGTTCATATCTAAACACTTCACGTAAAATTAAACTATTTCTTAACTAAATTTAGTGTCACCCAAAATTCTATTTATGGTTTTTAAAAATTTTATTTGAGTAGTATTCGATCAGTTTAGATTTTTGAATCTGCTAACATTGTAGCATAGGAATATACCATAAGTTTCTTCTTTGTTTAGTATTAATATTTATTCTGAACTTATTTTTAATACTGAATAGCACCCCAATGGTACAGCGGCATGTCTGAGGACTTATAACGCTAAAAACTAGGTTTCAATACCCTTGGTGAGCAGAACACAGATAGTTTATTGTGTAGCTTTACGCTTAAATACAAACAAACAAACAATTCTAAATATATGCAGGGCTTTACGTGACATCTTGTCAGGAAAAATCGTCAAGTTGATCTTGTTTCAAGTTATCATTCGTTACCGTGTTTCAGTGTATCAAGAGCAATGTCCTTCACTGGTTGTGCAAGTAATATGTAAAGATCACGGCCCCACTAATTTGTAATGAAAATGACTAGTCTCATGTTGATGTTGTCGCACTAAGAAAACGCGAGGTTTCGCTTTACTTTGTTTGTTTTTGTAATTTCGCGCAAAGCTACACGAGGGCTATCTGCGCTAGCCGTCCCTAATTTAGCAGTGTAAGACTAGAGGGAAGGCAGCTAGTCATCACCACCCACCGCCAAATCTTGGGCTACTCTTTTACCAACGAATACTGGGATTGACCGTCCATTATAACGCCCCCACGGCTGAAAGGGCGAGCATATTTGGTGGAACGGGGATTCGAACCCGCAGAATGCGAGTCAAGCGTCTTAAGCACCTGGCCATGTCGGGCCGGTTTCGCTTTAGATAGAAACCTCTCATTTAGTTAGTCTTATTTCAAGTCTAATCTGAACCAGGTCTCACATGTTAATCTGGTAAGGAACACGTTATGTTTTTGTTTTAAGTCTAATAAAGGTTGTTTTCACTGTGTCTTACACTTTGTATTCAGCTCTTTAATTCCTTAGCATAAACTCAAACAGTATAAATTCAGAATCCTCTTATTCCTTAGCATTAACTCAGTCAGTTTAAATTCAGAACTGTTTATTAATTCTATATTATGATTGAATTTCCTAATTGGTGAGATTATCTAATATAACTCAAAATATTTCCAATTGACCTGAAAATATTACAACAAAAAAGACTTAATGATATCCCCCCCCCAAAAAAAAAGGATTATCCCTTGTCCACGGTGCCAGAATTGTGAATGATCAATGGCTTATTTCGCAGCAAATCGTATCAATTAGTTTTAAAAATCGTTGTTTATAACTGTTGTTTGGGTTGTATCGTGAGAATCTGCTTAGGGAAATATCTACTGAAAACATTTTACCTGATGAAGTGATATATAAAATCATGTGTTAAGAACTGACAGCGGGTGTAATTTGAATGATATTAAGTGTGTGTGTAATTCATCAGATTGGCACAGTATGATATTGTTACGTCTCTGTTCGTTAGTTAATTTTCCGTAAATTCGTTCCGACGAAACTTTAGTGACACAAGTCCTTTCTTAAATAAAACTGGTTTATTCTTTCCGAATACAACTTTACCGATACACTTAATTTCAACAGTCGCTCTATAACAACGCTATAATTCTCAAAGAACATCTCACGTGCTCGGGCTCGACAATACTCAGTTCAATTACACACCCTCTGACTGCAGTTCAATTACTCACTACCTCCCCGTCGCTTCGTGGTCGGTCTTATATATACAAGACTAACACACATCTAGTAAACGCTAGGGCGTTCACGAAGGAACAGGATATTTCTAGAAAGAGGTGGCGTGATACTAGTCACCTGACCTCGCTGACGCAACAATATTACTTGGATCTATATTTGTTTCTGCTGAAAGCTTTAGATTCACAAAAAAGTATGAAAAATCTGTAGCAATATTTCAAACTTGCCTGTTATATCAAAATTTCTTATAGGTGCAAGATAACTCTAAAGAAACTCGTGATTTACTTACATCGTGTGAGAAAAGTATCTAAAGACAATAATATTTCAGCCGAACTTATTGTTGTTGTTTTCTCTCTCTAAGCTAAATGGCTTTTATTGCATTTAATACCATAACAGTGTTAACTTTTTAAATTTGTATTGTAATCACTTATCATTGTTATAAAGTTCATTCTTAAGCTAGATTGTGTGTGAAAAACTTTAAACATTTAGTGTGCCAAAGATTTCACTGTTCGCGTTCTTTTACCACAAAAATGTTTCACATTTTGGAGTTGAGGGTGCACCATAAAAAGTGACTGTCTAATACTACTATTCGATGAAACAAGCATAACCCAAAATTGTTGATGGATGTTATTAACTAGCTTACTTCCCTTTAATCTATCATATCAAAGTTAGATATCGGGTCTGCGCAGACATTCTCTGTGTATTTTTTCGCGAAAATTATAAACCAAACCGGCATTCTCATATGTACTGTAGCAGAATACATTAGTGAAGAAATTGTCTATATTATCAGGTTGTGACTCAACCAATGCATTCAATGGTACAGAAAAATTGCAATGAATGAGAAATATTGCTTCCCGTCAAGAAGCTTAAAGAAGGCCAACTAAAGTTAGGGCAGCAGTATCCCTAACCTTAAGATAATTCACATCTCTGGTATAATTTTTGTACTGTAACAAGAAATATGAATCTCTTGTTTGATTTCAAAGCTTATTATGCAGTTTTCATGATTTTGCTTACCAACATCCCTTTAGAAGAAACGATAGAACTAAGTGATGTCTTATTAAAAATAAAGAGTGGAAATTATATGCGGATCTCTAAACGTGTGTTCAAAACTCGTGACTTTTGGTACCAAAGTATCCCATTTTGTGTTCAAAACTAAATCTCCGTAATCAAATAAATGTAGTGTCTCAATATTTTCTTCTTTGACTAATATTTTTCTTTGATTCCACGAAAAACAGCGGTTAGAAGAACGCCCAATATCTTTAAAACTATTATACTACCGAAGATATGCACTTGGTTGGTGATGCTTTTGGCATATTTAAAAATCCCGAACAAGTTGCTCAATTTTGAAATACCTAACAGCAAACATAACAGTAAGTAGTAAGGGCGGAACGGTCGCGGCAAAAGGATGCCGCCTCACGCTGATTGGCTGCCCCAGGGGAGGAGACGGTGATGCCATCAAAGATGAAGAAGTCATAGTTCAAAAACTTTCTAGGCTGCATGACAGGCAGTCATAACGTCATAGTTCAACAAACTAACTTATGGAGAGCTGAAATTATAGTTCGATACCAGACAGGCAGCTATAATTGTAATAGTACCATAAAGTAGAAAACATAATTAATACAATTAATCACTAATTCGATAGTTAATTAAATGGTCATAAAAAAGGACAGTGAACACTATTTCATTAGTTAATTAATTAATAATTAAACCATCCTACCACAAAGTAGAAAACGTGTTTCTAGGCCGCCATGACAGGTGGCCATAACTCATACAATACATGTCTCATCGTGTCGATGATTAATCATTAATTAATTAAATCGTCCTAAAAAGGACGCTTAAGACTAATTCATTAACTCATTCATAATTAATTCGTCCTTATAAGGACACTTAACACTAATTTACTAGTTAATTAATTAATAATTAAACCATTCTACCACAAAGTAGAAAACGTGTTTCTATGCTGCCATGACTCATACAATGCATGTCTCATCATGTCGATAATTAATCATTAATTAATTAAATCGTTCCTTAAAAGGATACTTAGCTCTAATTCAATTATAATTAAATAGTCATAAAAATAACTCTTGGTACTAATTCCTTAATAATTAATTAATTCTAAAAGGGATGATACAATAATTGAAACTTATTGTTTAAAGATTTACAGTTCTAAGTCATTAATACATTTATAATTAAATCAAGTCCTGAAAAAGGACTCTTAGAACTAATTAATTCATCCCAAAAAGGATAATACAATGAATAAAAATTATTGTTTAAAGATTTTCAGTACTATATTATTACATTTCCTGTCCTAAAAGGACTATATCTT